CATCAACATCTCCAACAACTTCTCTGTCATTCCAGGCGTGTTGGAACAGTTACACTGAAAACAAAGTGTACCTCATCATTAACCCAAACAAGGCAACAACAGGACAACGACTGCATCCACCTCATGTGTGTTCACAAGAACGACGACCCCGACGACTTTTTCCACGCTGAGAATATGTTGCCGCTCCCACCGTTTCAACAACGCATCGTCATGGGCAGGGAAGAAAGGATAGACGCCAAGTTTGATGAAGAAAAAGAGGTCATTGGGGATTCTAGTGATCTTAGGGAGGGTATCATCTTCTTCTTCCCCCTCCCACCAGTCTGCAACAGGTCGTCCGTTGGACTGATTCTGAACAACCCGAGCCAAAACAAAAAGATGTACAAAGGGGCCGTCCATTTCAGACGACTTTCTGAGTCCGGAGCACAGATAACAGATCTCAAGCACCGGATCCCCTCAGCAACAGTGTTTTTCCACTCCGAAGGTAGGTCTATTGTTTTTCTATCCTTGATTTTCTATTTGTGTATGCTAATGATATATATGATGCAGAGGAAAAGCAAAGTTGAAATCCACACTAACTATGAATTTTCATTTATTTAAGCTGTAAACATTTTTATTATCGTATGTCCATTGCAGATGAGGGGAAGAAAAGTCGGGTTCAGCGGAAGGAAGGCAGTGTGGTCACCACGATCAAGGCGTCCCAGATACAACATAAGAAAGGTAAGAACGTACCATATTCTAAATGCTTGTTCACCTTTTGCCTGAGAATTATCATTCCGTTGGACGGTACGTCAAACAAGAAAAGGGAATCACGTGGATAACATGACATGGATTGAATTGCTTAACAATCTTATATTAATTACAGGTGGGAAGAGGAAAGCCAAAACGCGGCATGTCGGCGAGTCCAGCGACAGTGGCCCCCCGGTAAAGCGACCGAAGCAAGGTATGGATGAAGTCATGCCGTGAAAGAATTTTTTCGGAAATATCACTTTGATAGCAATACTTGACTTTAACTGATTGCAGGCCTTTAGTGACCCGATGTAGCCAACTACGATTTTTTAAAACGTTTTCAGCTGAGGAGATAAGTCCATGTAGAAAAATTATATTCTTGACGCAACAGTCGAGTTCCACCGATAGGACATTCAACCAAATACCCTTTCATGTGGCCTGCATGGAACTCTATCATATCACTCATCACTCCACGGTCCTTGGACAACTGGCAATTTCCTGGAAAGGTTAACCTCATTTCATCTGAGGAAACATCTCAACACTAGAAACAACAACATTATACGCCTATATATGCAGCGATGGAACCTTCTTTGCAACCGTCAAATTTCATTGATATCTTAAGACTCTGAAAGCAGTCAGAGTGCAATCGAAATACAAGTATTTAGGGTCATTCTTGTGGTGTTTTATATACATCTACTTATAAAACCACTGTGTTTACCGGCCTACATAAAATATCAAGTGATTTCATGTCAAAGGGCAAGTGAATGAGTGTTTCCTTGTTTTTGACCTGATTTCTAGGATCTGCAAGAAGGCCTTTGGTGCTGTTGCTCAATGATGAGTATGGGACCAGAAAAGGTGGAATATCCACAGTCAACCGTCAGATCGGGTGCTTTCTGGCTTCAAAAGGAGCAAAGGTCCTTTGCACAGTCCTGAATGCCACACAACAAGACAAGGATGACGCAGCTACAGATGGAATTCAGCTGGTTTTCCCAACACCGTTTGAACGTGATCCGAGAGAGGCAGAGCTCTATTGGCTGACCTTTGACCACCAGACTCGATATCCAGACCTTCCCTCGCACGTAGACTTCATCGTCGGCCACGTACCCATCACGAGCCACGCAGCAAGACGGATGAAGGAACGCTTTCCTGGCGCAAAACTCGTCCAGGTCACCCACGTGATGCCAGAAGACACCAGTCAGTACAAGGGTGACGACAGAGTGTTAAACATTGGACAGGAGAGCAACAACATTCTGGATGACCTACGACATGCTGATGTTATGTTCTCGGTTGGTCCATTGATATATGACTACTACAGGCATCAGACGAATCAGCTAACACTACAACATCATGAACTCTTGCCAAAGCCGTCTGACATCTTCATCGATATGAAACTGAAGCCACCCGCCGACACGGAAACGAAAGTGGTGCTGTCCATTGGCAGGGTCAAGGGTGTGGAGAGGCTGAAAGGCGTTGATCTGGCTGCGACGACCATGGGAAAGGTGATCAACATACTACCCCACACGAAGTGGCGGCTTCGCGGCATCAGACGTGATGATTTTCAAGCAAGCAGGAGCATTATCGAAGCCAACACGGGTAGATTCCAGTTCGTACCCTTCACACCTCTGGAATACGGTACACAGGAGGAGCTGTGCGAGGACATGAGAAAGGCCGATGTCGTTCTGATGCCGTCTCGTGCAGAGCCATTCGGACTGGTTGGTCTGGAGGCCATTGCCGCAGGGGTGCCAGTCGTGATTTCCAACAAATCTGGTCTTGCAAAGTTCCTGACAAAACAGGATCCCGAATTTGACCGCACGATCGTAGAGATCGACGATGACGATGAGGAAGCCGCCAAAACGCTGTCCAAGCGCATCATTAAGATCCTGAAGGATGGACCCAGAGAGTTCAAGGCCGCACAAAGTTTGAAGAAGAAGCTTCTGGACTCAGAGTATTGGGCTGAATCACACAACAAGCTCCTCCAAACCTTTGGCCTGGAGGGCTGAACGTTTAACCACTGGCAAATGGCACTTGACAGTTCCACGTAATATGGCTTCAGAACCCACCGTGCACACGCATCTGGATCAACCATTTGTCAGTCAGGTTGTATACACCAGTAAACAGGTGTATATGTATAACTATTCCATAAGTCATCAATTCTGCAAACCAATGGATATGTGGGTAAAGCATCAAGTGTCCATATCGACCTGGTAACGGGACTTTCTCAGATGGCAGTACTCTGCCGGTGCTCATTCTGAGCTGTTGTTAACATGAGAACAATCAACATTCCATATAAGCTTGTACACAGTGGATCCCTACAATCTCTTGTACTTTTTTATTGCTATGCAACATTAGATTTCATACTAGGATTTGATACTACAGATTTTCCAATTAGTTGAAGTTGACATGCTTTAGATGCTTTGTATTTGATTCTATTGTACATACAATTTTATATACAGTATTCTAGCAAGTGTAAGTTTAAATGATGTTTGAAGACGACGCAGACACTCCTGTTTAGATTGTGTTTTAGAGCTGTCAGGACTTGATAAACAGATGTTAGAGTTGGACGACATACCATTACAGATGTAGATTATATGAACTTTCCCTTCATTCACTCACGTTTGGATTTGTTTTTTTACTGGGAAGAAGACGTTAGGAACCAATTATAGATTGTCCGGTAACTTTTCATTATCGATACCTTCCCACTCTTCCACTTAGTACAATATTGTCACTCTGTAAAAAAATGGAGAGAATAATGAAATTCTTGCACAATCAGATTACTTTTCTCTAAATTCTAAGCAAACTTCCTGACCAAATTTGGTTATGTTTTGACTTGATTCTGGTTGAAATGACCGCCTGTGTTCTCCCAGACGAAAATGTTACAAACAGGATGTAGCACTTCCTTCCAGTTCTTTCCATGCATCATATTTGTCTAATGCCAGACAATTACTACAATACATGTCAAACACGACAGAACAGTCTGTTGTACGCACAGTATGGACGGTAACAAGTATCCACGCGATTGGCAATAATGTTCACAACCAAGCCGAACCAGTGAATCCCATTCGTGCGAAAAATATCATTAGAATAGAAGAAACACGACAACATCCAGGCGAGTCTGAGTCTTGTGCAGGATGGCATCAGTACTCGGTACCGGAGCCGGTAGGGCTGCCCCACGGCGGTTCAGTCCTGAAGAGGCGACGGCCGAGGGAGAGTGTTCCCCAGGCCGGCAGGAGTCTAAACTATAATCATCTCCTGGCCGAAGCACGACCGCCACAGCCTCTTCATACACACCGTGTGTATGAAGAGACTGTGGCGGTCGTGCTTCGGCCAGAAGATGATAGTTTGGAGCAGGGTACAGGTGGACATGAGGATCACAGATAGGTACAGAAGGACGTCCCTCAGCTGCAAGGTCAGTTATAGGTCCTTCAAGGTCACCATTAAGCATAAGCAACATTTCCTGTTTGGCAATCAGTATACGTATTGGCGTGAACGCCGAAAAAAACAAGAACAGCTATTGAATCACAGCACCCTTGAAAGACCCTACTTCTTTGCACTGGAGAACCAGCTGTATACGCTGTTACGCACCACAAGCCTGGTCTCGGAACGTATCCGTGACTCGTATACATGTATGTGTGTATACGACCGGTCTACAGGTGCTTGGAAGGAGTCGGACTGCACCCTGCCTTACGAAGGCTGAGAGCCCTACGGTACAGCTGAAACATGCCCTGTGGCAAAGATGTTCCTCCCACACATGTACAGTAAAGACGTCCTACCTGTGATGAGACAGAATTCAGTCAACCAACAAGGTGTCCCCGGGGTTGAAAATTCGGCCCGATGTTGTTTCACGCTAGCCTCTACCAGGCTCCGCGGAAATAGTATAAATTGGCCGAAATAAAGGGATAGTATACTAGAGAAGATCCCGGGTCATAGAAGATCCAATTCGCGACCCGTGGGCACGAGGAAAAGACCAACGCATGCTCTACGCGAACCATGTGCCGCTCAACCTTGTCAAATGTGCCATCGATGTGCTGTCGAAACCCTAAAAGCACGATGTGGTCACGGTCTGACTTTGTTCTGCACAACTCGGACAATCCATGGACAAAACATATCAACACTTGAATAAAATCGTACCTTATTACCGAATTGGATCTTCTTTGGCCCGGGATCTTCTCTGGTATACTACCCCGTTTTGTCGGCCAATTTCTACTATTTTTTCCAGGAGCCTGGTAGAGGCTAGTAATCAGGAACAATATTGGAGAAAAGATACACCCCTTTCTAACGCCAGACCTAACACAGAAGGGTTCATTGGAGCTGTGCAGTTTTCCGTTATGACACTGTACTCAAAATGTCTTTATATTGGAGACTATATGACAGGGATACCATATGCCCTCAGGATTTTCCACAGGCTTTTTCTGTGTACGCTGTCAAAAGCTTTCTGAAAGTCAATGAAATTTATGAGCAGTGGAGAGTTCCATTCAATGCATTGTTCAATCATATTTCTCAAAGCAAAGATGAGCAGCCTCAACCCTTACGAAAGCCTGCTTGTTCCTCCTTTAGCTTGGGGTCAATCACACTGTCAATCTGTTTGAGAAGGATTCTACAGAAAACCTTACTGGGGATGGAGGCCAATGATAACAAACTTGGTATCATTTCATGTTAAGGGAAAGTTCAGCTATCAAATTTTTAAGTTTAGCCACTTTGTTCGATAAACTCTGATAGTATTTCATCATTTATATGCTTCTACACAATATTATTACTGGCTTTTATACCTGCACAAACAATGATAATAACCTTACTATTATTTCATGTTTAGAGAAAGTTCAACTATGAATTTATTAAGTGTAGACACTTTGGTAGCTAACCTCTGATAGTATTTTATCATTTATATGGTTCTACATGATAATCTTACTAGGTTTTATACTTACTAGCTTTATGTGTATGTACTATTTTGTATGTGGGGGTATAAGAACGGACACAACAGCCAACCGTGTTGGAACCTCCCGACCGACCCACAAATTTGTCAAATATTTTGTGGTATTTTACAGGCGCAGCCGAATAGTAGCCGACCTGGCCAAACACTGCTTTACGCTGTCCTACTCCTAACCATGGGTAGGGGGCGTTCAGCTAGTATCCAGGAAATCAAATTATTATTGTTTTTTATTCGCATTTATTTTTTAAGGATGGGGCAAAAAGTACACATTACGTATCGAGGCTTTCTCCTCTCCACACATACAGATGAAAGTAACATCAACAAAACAAAATTAAAACAAGGTACAAGAGAAAACAAAGAAGAACAAAATACCGATGTACAAATCACAACAAATCAAATCAAACGACCAGTATGCAAAATAAAGTTTAAAACTACATTAAAGACTTAACAATTGTTCGCAAAAAAACAAAGAAGGGTTGCCCCTGAGCTATTTAACCCTCAACAGTACACCTTCCCGGACTGATTAATCTGTACACCTGGGGTCCGCGCGGACCCCAGAACAGTTTTTTGCCAATTTTTAGAAATTAACAACATGCTAACAGCTCAATTGTTTTGCAAACTGATGTGGGAACCTCTGTGTCAACATTACATACAGAAATCATACATTTTGAACTTTTTCTATTTTTTGGTGAAGGAAAGAAGACAAGAAGAAATACCCGATTTTTAAACCCATTTCAGACTGAAGGGGCTTTTGAGGCCCAACTTTGATCTCAGATAGCGGCTAAACGGCTTGCGCTAGAAGTATCAAATTTCGAGACCTTTCCCAAAATGTCTCTGGAAAAAAGTTCATATTAGTTTAATACTAGTAAGTTGATGTTTTTTGTGTTGCCATGGCAACGGGCTCCTAGCAGGCAGTTTTTTTGAAAATAGAAGTAATTTTGGTTTAAACATAAAAATTTTCTGAGTTTTATATTAAATTACACTTCTCTTCCAACATCAATAACATCTTACATAATTAAATATGAGTTAAATCATTTAATATGCATAGAATATGCTAATTACGTCATTGGTCAAAATCCAATATGGCGGACTATATTATTAGCTCTGACGTCATATGACGTCATTATTACACCAAAGTTATTAAAATTTTATTTTATTGCTACACCATTCTCATTCTCATTCACCAAACTTGGTAGACATACGATGAGTGCATAAAAACATATAAAAACGGAAATAAAGTAATGTATAAGAACGCCAGTGTATCCATTATGATCGAAAGCCGGCTGGGGTCCGCGCGGACCCCAAAAGAAAATCAGATATAATTTTTTTATAAATGGTAGAAACGGAGTTTTCTGCACTGCATTGAGAGACAACTTTGTGGGTGACAATTACCTAAAATTTCAGAAAAAAACTTTAGAAACAAAAAAAAATATTACAGAATATATAGTGCTGGGGTCCGCGCGGACCCCAGGTGTACTGTTTAGGGTTAAGCATAGGGTGGCCTAATTCGTGAATGTGTGACAGGGGCTTAAACTTTTAATACGAGACGGAAACACGTCACTAGAACAGCAGACACTGGCAGGTCAGCGCGGCGCATATCTTATACACCTCTTCCGTCGACACTTCGATTCGTGGGTAGTCGGCCAGGGCTTCAGTTAATATCTGTCAAGGTAAAAATAAAGCACTGTTTAACACTACACAAAAACTATTGTCTTTCGGCAAACCTCAAAGCAAGAGTGAAAAAAAACTATACGCATTTTCATATCCCAAAAAGTGGCGTCGTAGTGGTACATCACTAGACTATGAAACGGGTTCGATTCCGGGTCGTACCCGAACAAGTCCGAACATGCGCCCTGACGTTGTACCCTTGGGAAAGGTACTTTACACGACTTTCCTCACTTCACTCGGCTAGGAACGTCCCTCGGATAGGACGTTGAACGGAGGTACCGTGTTTGGGGAGAGCCACACCCCACGCGTGTTAAAGAACCCACCGCACTTATCGAAAAGAGTAGGGGACCTTCCCGGTGTGAGTAGTTCAAACCTTACAGTCTGGTCTCGGGGTTGATATCTTTCAAAAGGTGATAGTGACCTGTTATGTCAATCCTTCCACAAATGTGGTAAATCTTCATGAATAAATAAATAAACATTTCATGACCAGACATGGTGACGGCGCGCTCAAGTTTACTATATCAACTTAGTTCACACCGACACCAACGCAGAGGACAAATACAAGGTAAATGGCCTTTCCCAAGGGCACAAGATCGGTTACATTTCAGGACTCAAACCCGGGACCTCTTCGATCCGAATCGAGCACTCTGCCTTTACGCAACACGACCCCACATACCGTAACGCATGTTTTAAGAATGGCTGCCGTGCATTGTATCAACAGTACAATACGACATTGCTACATTTGCAACTCAACCCGACACCTTTACTATATTTCCCTTAATGAAT